AGGCAACAGGGCGGGCGGCCTTGTCAGCCCGTACCGCATCACAGGCTACACTATGAGCTCGTTACAGGGCGCCTCGTTTAGCATTGGCAGCAGCGCGGGGACTGTGACGTCCGCCACCGGCTCCACAGTGATCCAGTAAGTATAATCAGCGAGCTTCCGTGCCTCCCTCCCACATATCTTCAGCATATGACATATTTCACCTCTATATTCATGCCATCCTGTACATCCAGCCATCACGTTTATTCGTCGTACCCAGACTAACGAAATGCCTTATCCCCCTTTGCTTGGTGGCCAATCAGGTTCTCGCGCACAACTGGCACGGGGTCCATTCCCATCAAGATGAGTGGCGTCAGCCGTCTCATCTGGGCTCACTCCAACTCCAACTCCAAGACCCTTGCTTTCCACGGCGGTGCTGAGTGAGTGTCCCAAACGCTGGCTCTCCAATACCCTTACTTTTACGTCAAGACCCCTCTGTGCATCCCGACTTCAACTCTTCAAACCCTTCTTACTGCAGTTACCGACGCCCTCTCTCTCTTCGTGATGCTCTCCAGCGTCCTCTTCCATCCAGTAGCTTCCTCCCCTGTCTGAAGCGCACCCGCCTCCCTCACCCCCACTCACTCCTCCACAGCTGCCGAATGTCAGTGGGCTTGGTGTCCCAGTGTCTCTCCATCATCTCACCACCCTTACTTTCTCTCCCCTCTCCCCTCCCCCTGTCCCTCGCCCCCTTGTTCCATCACAGTGGTAGCATGTCAGTGGACTTTTCCTGCGCCACTGCCCCGTCGTCCGGCGGCGGCGGGGGCGATGATAATGGCGAGGGGGTGATGACTGGGGGGAGGGTGGTGGTTCAGGTAGCGGTGGGGCTTTCCTCTCGCAGCTCATCGCTTGGCTTGGCTCGCTCTTCGCTTCCGCAAGTAGAGGGCATACGCTGCACAGCACAGTGCAGCACACACCACACAATGCTCACTGGGAGTTGTGCATGGTGGATATGAGTTGGTGGTGGTGGCGATTATCAGGAGGGTTGAGAAGGGGAGGTGTGAGTCTAGTAGTGTAGACGTAAGTAGCAGGCTGGACCACAGGCATCTTTTGGAGTTGTGTGTGCGAGAGGCTCCACTGCACAGCACAGCCTAAAAGATGGTTGTGATGCCTTGCCCTGTATGCCATAGATGAGTTGCACTGTTTGCTGGTTTCCAACCGTGATGTATAAGTTTTATTTGTAAAAGGGCCGTTTAAAATGTAGAAGGATGGCAAGATGAAGGGCTCATATGCAATCATAGGGAAGATGCCAGTTGATGCACATGTAAAAACCAAAGTTACAGACCATGTAGGTAGTCATTGGTTGCAGCCGTGCCCCATTTGCAGTCACGGTGTAGTACTACTGTCAGGTGAGTTCACAGGTCTGTTCTCAATAATACGGTAGCAGGTTATGCCATGTCCACCCAAAAGAAAGGAAACATACATTTGGAAGTGGAATACGACATAAATTGATTTTGACATGGATGAATGGGTTGCTGTTTTCTATGCGATGCCTGTACGGAGGAATTCTTTCAAGCTTCATGCGCAAGGTTGTTTGGCAAATTGGCACGCTCATGTTGATGTTCGTGGTCCATAGACCCTGGGAAAACAGGCTCGGCAATAGAAGACAACCGCCGAACTTCCATACACGAGCCAGAGTGCCAGCGCGGCAAAGGAGCAGCATGGCAATTACGGTAAGGCACATGCTGGTTCTGTTCCCCACCTGTTCAACGAGATAAAAAAAGTCGTTTTCATTCGACGACGAAATCCAAGATGGAATAACCGGGTTTCGTCAACACCCTGGTCACAAGACCAGACCAGCCAATGTAATGGCTTGACGAACGCAAACCACGCGCATTCCACAACCGAGCCGCACCTGTCGGTGACAAGCCCAAAACGTGAGCCAATAGAAAGTGGACAGGTGGTTTGTGTTCCCCCCTCTCAAGACAACCTGTCCACTTCGCCGAACCTCGATCTTCAAACCAGCCAGCTTTCCCAAGCAAACACCAAGAGGCAAAAAATCGCGCGTCGCCGGGACGCGCAAGCAAGCAACCAAGCATTGCAATTTCTGGTGGCGACGGCGATTTTGAATTGCTGCGTTGTTCCTCACAATTGGGGCGCTGCTTTCTCAGCCATTACATTTCCAGCCATTATATTTCCCAAGTTCCCGACCCAACCCAACCCAATCATCCACTCAACCCCCTGGCCCTTCCTCGCCATCATCTCCGCCTCCCTCATATCCAGCCGTCCCTGCTGCTCACCCTCCTCCTCTCCCACCCGTGAATCTCTCACTCCTACATAAACCAGAACAAACCAGATCCTCCACGAGATTTACGACTCTCCCTGGGAGGCAGGCCAGTGTCACTCCGAGTGCCCAGACTTCCCAAAACTTCTGACTCGGAGTCACAGCTTTCGCTCCACCTCCCTCCCCACGTCCGTCGCCCATTCAAGCCGAGCTAGTAGCTCATCCCACCCCGTCTCACCGCACTCCAACCCACCCCACCGCTCATCCCACCCCGCCTCAGTCCCGCATTTTCCCCTCGCCATGGCCGTCAAGGCGCGCGAGCCGCGCGGCACGAGGCTCATGCGCCTCTGCGTCGCGGTCCTCTTTATCGCCACGGTGCTCGACGGCGGCGCGGCGGGCGCCGCCAGCGGCGGCGCACCGTCGCCGTTCCCGCAGAAGTCCCAAGGCCTCCTCAACCGTCACAACGCGTGGCGCCTGAAACACTCGCGCAAGCCGCCTACTGGCGCCGCCGCTGGTGCTACAGCCGGCGGCGCCGCTGCTACAGCCGCCAAAGCCGGAACGAAGACGCTGGTGACGCCTGCCGCGACGAGCACGTGCCAAACGTCGACGCTCGCAGGATACACGAGCTCCATGGACCTCTCGGGCAACGGGTGAGAACTTTATTGGAAAGGATAGTATAGAGAAGATCTCGGAGATCTTTCCGACATTCCGTCGTGTTCCATCGCGTTTCGCACTCCCCCTAATGCACGTCGTCCTCTAAGTGACTCAGTAGTTCTATTCTAATACATTTCGCCTGGCGCTCATCCGTCTCTAGTTACCCTTGCGAAACGTCGCCCCTTTTTCGCCATTTCCCCCAGGCTGGTCCTCCACTGGAAGAAGTCAACGGGGTCAACGATCGACCTGGCCCTGGAAGCCAAGTCAACGAGCGGCGCGGCGAGCGGGTGGTTCTCCGTGGCGTGGACCAACGGGGGCATGTTTAACTCGGACGCCGTCATCGGGAACATAGCGACGGGGACCAGCGTCGGCACGTACGCGATATCTAGCTACTCGAGCGTGGTTACCACGTCGCGGTTCGCTATAACCGCCGCGAGTGTTACAAGGTCGGGCGGGAGCACGATCGCGAAGTTCACGCGATCGACGGGCGACGGGACCGTGGCGGTGAACGTGGCGGGGAGCAACAAGCTCGTGTGGGCCTTCTCGTCTGGCGGCTCCAAGACCGTCGCCAACCACGGCGGCAGCCACAGGTGCCTCGTTGTCGCCCCCCCTCCCCCACCCCCCCCCCCTCGTCGCAAATTGAACCCCGTCCCTCGAGTTGCAATGCTCCAGGCCCCTCTTAGCGCCTCACTCACCTTGTCTCTCTCTCCCCTTCGCCGCTCTGTCGCTATTTCCGTGCCTCCAGAGGCGCAAAGACCATTGACTTCTCTTGTGACGGAACAGCCTCGGGCTCAGGCTCGGGAACCGGCTTGGGAACTGGCTCGGGAACAGGCACGGGAACAAGCTCGGGCACTGGAGCAGGGACGTGCACGGGCAACACGGGCGTGAGCGGCACTGCATGTCCCGCGTCCACTCTCTGCGGCTACTCCTACCAGGCCCAAATCAAATCCGGGTACGCGGATGCAGAGCCCTTTGTCTAGTCACCCACGCCTCCCCAACCCCCCCTCCCAACCACTGCTCACATTGCTCGCCGCTCTGACTGCTAGCGTCTTCTTTTGCCTTGATTTGCCTCTTCCTCGTGTTCTGAGTCCGTCCTCTCCCCTTCCCTCTTCCCCCTTCCCCCTTCTCCCTTCCCTCAGCGTGCTGCTGCATTGGAAGAAGGTGTCGGCCACGCAGTTGGACATGGCTGTCGAGCTCAAGACCAGCAGCGGCGCCAGCAACGGGTGGTTCGCGCTCGGCTGGGCCAACGGGGGCTCCATGGCTCCCTCCGACGCAGTCATCGGCAACAGGGCGGGCGGGATTGTGAGCCCATACCGAATCACAGGCTACACTATGAATTCGTTACAGGGCGCCTCGTTTAGCATTGGCAGTGGTGCGGGGACTGTGAAGTCCGCTACTGGCTCCACCACAGTAATCCAGTAAGTATCGGGCTCTGTGCTGTGCATATGACATGGTCACCTCTATGTCTAGACATGTTTTCTCACATACTTTCCTTGCTTGTTGGTCAACCAGGTTCTCGCGCACAACTGGCACGGGGTCCATTCCCATCAAGATGAGTGGCGTCAGCCATCTCATCTGGGCTCACTCCAACTCCAACTCCAAGACCCTTGCGTTCCACAGCGGTGCAGAGTGAGTGTCCAACGCTGGATCTGATCGCCAGTGTCAAGTCCCCTCTGTATTCCTCTTGCGCTAGTTCTCCCGAAACATCCTCTCAACTCTTGCCTATTCCTTCACTCGTTTCGTCAATGCGCTTTATCCTCCTCTTCCCTCTGCACAATCATATCCCCACTCACTCTTTCACACTGTCTAGATCTCTGTGTAATTCCTGTCCTGCTTTCTCTCCTCCATCTCACAACCCTCTGTTCTCCCTCCTGCCTCTCCCTCCCGCTCTTGTTTCATCGCAGTGGTCGCATGTCTGTGGACTTCTCTTGTGCCATGTCCCCGTCGTCCGTGGACGATGGGGGGTACGATCATGACGGTGATGACCATCATGGGGGGGACGATCATTATGGCGACGGTGATGACTGGCAGCGGGGTGGTGGTTCAGGTTCGGGTTCCAGTGGGGCTTTCCTCTCGCAGCTCATCTCTTGGCTCGGCTTGCTCTTTGGCTTCCGCAAGTAGAGGGTGTCAAACATGTGTATTTGTCATGTTTGTATAGACTGTATAGGATCGCCTCTAAGAGAGTACAACACTTAGGTATATCTGTGTGTACTCTCACTCTATCCATCATTCACTTCTCAATTTTGATATGGTATCACGCGTAGGTAGGATCCCCCCCCACCTACCGCTTCCGCTCACCCCTCTAGCCCCTAGCCCCGTCGCGACCCCCCTAGCCCCGTCGCGCCCCATCCTGGGCCCTGTAGCGCCCCTTCTGGGCCCCGTCGCACCCCTCACTGGGCCCCGTCGCGCCCCTCCCAGGCCACGTCGCGCCCCTCCTAGGCCCTGTAGCGCCCCTCCTGGGCCTCGTCGCGCCCCTCCTGGGCTCCGTAGCGCCCCTCCTGGGCCCCGTCGCGCCCCTCCTGGGCCCCGTAGCGCCCCTCCTGGGCCCCGTCGCGCCCTTCCTGGGCCCTGTAGCGCCCCTCCTGGGCCCCGTCGCGCCCCTCCCAGGCCCCGTCGCGCCCCTCCTGGGCTCCGTAGCGACCCTCCTGGGCCCCGTCGCGCCCCTCCTGGGCCCCGTAGCGCCCCTCCTGGGCCCCGTCGCGCCCTCCCTGGGCCCTGTAGCTCCCCTCCTGGGCCCCGTCACGCCCCTCCCAGGCCCCGTCGCGCCCCTCCTAGTCCCCGTAGCGCCCCTCCTGGGCCTTGTCGCGCCCCTCCTGGGCTTCGTAGCGCCCCTCCTGGGCCCCGTCGCGCCCCTCCTGGGCCCCTGTAGCGCCCCTCTTGGGCCCCCGTCGTGCCCCTCCTGGGCCCCGTAGCGCCCCTCCTGGGCCGCGTCGAGCCCCCCCCTCCTGGGCCCCGTCACGCCTTCAGGCCCCGTCGCGCTCGCCCGGCCCCGTCGCCCCAGCCCGGCCCCGTCGCACCAGCCCGGCCCCGTCGCACCAGCCCGGCCCCGTCACGCCCGCCCGGCCCCGTTGCACTCGCCCGGCCCAGTCGCCCCCTGCCCGGCCCCGTTGCAGCCGCCCGGCCCCGTCGCACCCGTCCGGCCCCGTCGCGCCCGCCCAGCCCCGGTGCGCCCCTCCTGGGCCACCGTCCTGCTCGCCCGGCCCCGTCGCACCGGCCCGGCACCGTCGCACCAGCCCGGCCCCGACGCACCCGCCCGGCCCCGTCGCACCAGCCCGGCCCCGTCGCGCCCGCCCGGCCCCGTCGCGCCCG